CTGTGGTTGCCCTAGCCTGCAGAGGTGCTGGCTCCTGGGGGTGCGAGTCTGGGCAGCAGGGCCTCCGGTCACCGGCCTGACCTTAGCTTGCAGCCAGGCTGGGGCCACTGCCAGGTCAGGGCCCCTCTGTGAGGGCACGCCCTGGGCCCAGGGGCAGGGCAGAGCTCAGCACCCCCCAGGTGCTGCTGGGTGTGCGCGTGTGGGGACAGCCCACGTGGGACATGGGACAGCAGGAACCCTGACAGCTCGGCATGTTTATGAGTTCTGGCCAGCCTGCCTCCCACAGAGCAACCCTCTGCCCCGAGGGTCCAGTTCTGGGGGACAGAAGGGATAGGCCCTGCCCTATACTGGCCAGAGCCTGCCCCAGAACACCCTGTACGATGAGCTACCCTCCTCCAAGGGCCCTCACCGCCTGCTCCACGGGGCTGCAGTACCTGGGCGGCCCCCGCGGCAGTGAGCCGGGATGGGACAAGAGGGAGGCCTGGGGAGGACGCAGCCCTGGGAGGGGCGTGCAGGGTGAGAGGTGGTCAGGCCAGATAAGTGGACGGGTGGGGAGTGGGGACCCCTTCTCCGGGCAGAGAGGTCAGGGTGCCCCACTAGGGAAATAGCATGCCACACCCCTGGCAGTCAGTGGCTGGCCAGTGTCCCCATCTGCAAAGCAGGGGACATGCCCACCCCGAGGCTGGTAGAGATGGGCCGGCGAGCACACATTGGTGGGGTGGTGACTAAATGGGGACCCAGGCCCCAGGGGAGCCCTGCTAGGTCCTCGCTTTTCATGTGGGTTCAGGTCCTTGCCGAGGTCACTGTAACGTGGTGGCGGGCAGGACAGAGGCGGGCCTGGCTAGGGTGAGTCGTTCCCTAAATGTCCTCTGAGTTCACCGTTAAGGGATGCAGGCCAGGCGGCCAGGGCACCCCCACTCCACGGCAGGTGACCCGGCCTGTGCTGGGCAGCGGCCCTGACTCCGCACCCCTTCCCTTACCCCCACGCAGGCGCCCCCAGGCGGAAGCAGCAGCCTGGGGCGGCAGCAGAGGAGGCGGGGCAGGGAGCCAGCGGTGCGCGCCGAAGCCCTCCCAGGGCCAGCCCCGGGCGCTTACGTCCACCACCAGACCCCTGGCTGGGGACAGTCGATGGGCGCCCCTCCACTGCGCGGGCGAATCTGGGGCAGGGTGGCCCAGCCCGACGGCGCCCCAGGGCCCTGG